TTCATGGTAGACTTAGTTTTATAAAACTCTGTTTAGGTACTATTCAAACAGAAGATGTATTTTCTTCATATCAGCTTTGTAAGCTCTATTATTAGAAGCTCATGATTTGTACTACCGGCCCTTGAAAAATGTAATAGATCCAAATATTTTCTTTTGTCTAATTGTCTTATTAATGTTATTGGAATTGGATAGTTATTAGTTGGCTTACCTAGCGGGTTGGGTTAAGTGCCATCACGACTAGTAGATTTTGGGTTATGACACTTGTAAGTCACCTAGTTAGATTTGACAGAACCTTGACTGATGGATTTGCATATGCAATTAAGTTGCATTTGCAAACTTCATCTTGAAGTACATCTCTTGCGCTTTCACAGGCTTCTAGCTTTAAGTTCCTAGTCCTACTTTTCCTTATTGAGTCTCCTTAGTTCACTCAACATTTTTTGAGACTCCTTCAGGGTAAGGTCAAGAATATCCTGTAATTCATTACTTCTATCACAGTTATAGCATCTTACCTCGCTTGTTTCACCTCGTGCCATAAAACAGTTTTCAGTATCTTCCTTGCATTCATCGCCTGATACATCTTTATCAGTCCAATAACTAGAGTATTTGTTCATGTCGTTTTCCAAGATGGTCATGAAGCACAAATTTACTATATCTTCGTAAGTTGAACTATCTTTATCACTCCAGCTTCTGAAGGATTTGTTTTTACTGAACCTTCTGGAGACTTTTCTTTTAAGATATGGGCATTCAACTTGAATATGCCCATACCTTCCACAGTCATAACACTTCCCGTCATTCTTGTCTTATTCATTGTATTGCTTGGTTCGCCTAGATGGCATCTTTCCCCTTCTTGTATTTCTATACCTTCTCATCAATCCATCCATGTTTCTTGATACCATGAAAATTTCTTCTTCAAGAGCTTCTAGGTCGTCATCAATATCATTTTCAGGTCCTTCAGTTGTAGTTTTGAAGGCAACTATTTCTACTTTTCTTCCTGACTTATTTTCTTAAGATAGGTTTTCTCGAATTCTGTAAGATTTCCTCGTAGTTCATTATATAAAAGTTTGTTTAGATCTTTGATATTTGAGTGCAACTACTTTTCTCTACCAACTGGTAGGTAAATTCCTTAGGATTTTTCGAACTTGATCACCACTTGAGTAGGTTTTACCAAAGGCTTTCAAATCACCAATAATTTTGCTGAATCTTGCAAATATTTCCTCAATGGATTCTTCTTCTTTTATCTGAAAGGGTTCATAATCATGAACTAACATGTTTATCCAAGTTTCTTTCACTTTGCTGGTTCCTTCATAGGTGACTTCCAGTTTGTCCCACATTTCTTTAGTTGTATCACAACTTGAAATTTTCTCATACTCTTCTCCACTTATAGCATTATTTACTAAGTTTTGTGCCTTAGCATTAACCTGAACAACCACCATTTGATCGCCTGTGTAATCATCTATATCTTCGGGATCATCGGGTGGTTGAGCTACTGTTGGTAGTGGATAATTTTCCTTTTGATAATGCGTCATACTTTGACATTATAGGATTTTGCATAAATTTTCATTTGCACTTTCCAGTAAGAACAATGTTATCCATTGAAATATGGTGGCCTAACTTGCGATGTTTCTTATTGAAAGAGTGCTCCAACAGTAACTTGATTTTTCATGATCTTTTCTCACAAGCTATTAAGCAACAAGTGTGAGACCTACTCTGATACTAATTGAAAGTGCAAGAGGGGGGAGGGTGAATTGTAATTTATCTTTTCTTTTTCAAGGTGGTCGACTAATTTGCGTTCTAGTCGACTGGCTTTTTCAAAATTGAATATAGAAAATAAATTGCAGAAAGTAAATGACACAGAATATTTTATACAAGTTCAAATTCAGAGTGAATCTTACGTCCAGTCCTCTTAGGTTGCAAGGGTGATCTCTTTCAAGTATGAAGTGTCTTAGTACATATGGATTGATGTTGTTATACACCAATAATTTTTGTCATTTTGTTCTTTTCTCTGTAATTGATACAATGCCTCACAAATGTTCTTTTCTCTCTTCTCTTCTTTGTTACACAAGAAATCTAAAGCAGACTACAATGCTTGTTTGAAGTAGAACAAAGAGATTGAAATTGGTTCGATCAAAGATATCTTTTCAAGGCTGGTACAGTAGGTATTTATACTTCATGAGGCCATTATGTCTTGTAAGTCTTTTGAGAGATTGCAAATCTAAGGGAGTTATTCTCAGAAAGGAATCGTAGATTGATTCGTTTCAAGACTAATTCTTCTGTTGATTTTCCTTGACTCGTGGCCTTAATTTATTTCTTTCTTTAATGAGAGAATATTCCCATTGTCAAATCCCTTGATTTATGCTTCGATTGATGTCTTTATGTGGAAGAATTTTCAGCGGAAGAAATAAAGCCCTTGACCTCCTTTAATTGAGATCTTTCCTATAATATCTTCTTTGATTGATTTTTCCAGCTCCTTTGATTGATTTTTTAGCTCCGCTTTCCTTTTTTGTTTTGATTCTTTTATGCCTCTATTCTACTGCTCAGAAACTGATCCTGCACATAAAGAGTAATTTGTTATTTTGAATCATTGAAATCAACTTAGGTCTAATAGAGATGACTATATTGGAAGTTGTATGTGAAAAATTTGCATATAGCACAAGACAGGGACTATCAGACCTATGATTTGAAGGTTGCGGATGTATTTTTTCATTCAATCAAAATCTGCTTATATATAGGGTGTCACTTCTAATATATCACTATTTTTTAAAAGGCAAATACATGTATACATGAAATTTTTGCCGAAGGCGCCGGTGACCCCTCTCTTTATAAGATAGGCCTGGCTCTTTATTGAATTCAAAATTAATAATTCATACATATTAAATGAATTACTTAAAATATATATAAAATTTAAGCCAAAATTAGTGGATTCTATCGAACCCGTACTTTAGAAAGAATTAACAGGGCTATGATCCATCTATGCCAAAAGATTGAAACTGGAAAGGAAATTTCAGAGTGGACTGTGATTTCATACAACTAACGATAACAACGTTATTGTCCTAATATTTGAAGAATGAAATTAATCATTCTTCATAAAACATTTGACTTGCTTTTGGATGGTGATATTTCACCTTTTTTGCCGTATTTGTTGTGGCAACGGTCTGAATATTCTAGTACTCCTTCCATCACTTTTTATGTGATACACATTTTTTTTAAAAAAAATATAATAATGATGCATTTCTTTATTTAAATATTATTTAAAATTAACATATCAATTTTATCCTTAATGACATTACATGTTTGGACCCAACAACAATAACAACACCAACAACAAACTCACCCCAATATAATCTCATAAAAGTGAGATTTGAAGAGGGCAGAGTGTACGTGGATCTTAACCCTACCTTGTGAAGGTAGAGAAAATATTTTCGATAGATCCTCCGCCTCAAAGACATGTTTGAACCCATTTGAAATAAAAGATACTTTTTTATTAGGAGAGAGAAAATAAAAAGACATAATTTTCTTTATGTTGTGCGTCATCACCACTTATTTGATTACTTGTAATAAAGTACTCTCTTCATTCCAATTTACAACAACAACGATCTAGTAAAATCTTACTAGTGGGATATGAGAAGGGTAGTGTTTACGCAGACCTTACCTCTACCCCGAGAGAGTAGAGAGGTTGTTTTCGAAAGATTCTCAGCTCAAGAAGATGAAAAGAGACAACCAATAGATACCATAAGAAAAATAACATCATGAAAATCAGAAAATAGATGCAAAGCAAAAGCGATAGCCAGTAAATAGACGCGACACTATGAAAAACGAAAGAGTACAAGATACAACATTGTCACTAGCTATCTCAAACAAAAATCCTACCAGACTAGCCACACAAAGATACGAAGTAAGGAAATACTCAACTACCTCCTAACATACAATCCTAATATTCGACCTCCACAACTTCCTATCAAGGGCCATGACCTCAGAAATCTGAAGCCTCGCCATGTCCTGCATGATCACCTCTCCCCAATACTTCTTAGGCCTCCATCTACCTCTTCTCGTGCCCTCCAAAGCCAGCCGCTCACACCTCTTTACCGGAGCATTTGGGCTTCTCCTCTGTACGTGCCCGAACCATCTGCGCATCGTTTCCCATATCTTGTCATCAATGGAGTCACGCCACCTTCTCTCGAATATCATCATTCCTAATCTTATCCATCCTGTTGAGCCCACACATTCATCTTAACGTCCTTATTTCTACTACTTTCATCTTCTAGATATGTGAGTTCTTAACAGGCCAACACTCAGTCCCATACATCATGGCCGATCTAACCATCGCTTTATAAAACTTACCTTTGAGTATCAGTGGCACTCTCTTGTCACACATGACTCCAGATGCTAACCTCCACTTCATCCACCCCACCCCAATACGGTGTGTGACATCCTCGTCGATCTCCCCTCCCCTTGGATAACCGACCCAAGGTACTTGAAACTGCCTCTACTTGGGATGACCATTGATTCAAGCCTCACATCCACGCCCACTTCCCTTAGCTCAACACTGAATTTACACCCCCATTTAGTTGTCAAAATAAGATTTTACACATCCATTAGGAAAATATTATCAAGAAGAGTGATTTGAATAATCCACCTCACATCAATTCTTTATATTTATCTATTTACGTGTCTCTTAATTCTAGAACAATTAATGTTAAGGATAAATCTGAAAAAAAAAAGAAATAATTCTCTCTTGATTTTTAAAATGACAAGTATTACTATTTTTCGTATTCATGATAAGTAAATGGGAATGGAGGGAGTAACGAAATTTTTTATACTTTGTCATATTGAGCTTATGTATCAATTTTTTTCCTTTATTTCTTAAACTCTGTGTGTCCAATCAAATACAACTTTCATATAAAATAGGACAAACGGATTTATTAAGTGTAAAATTTTTCCACATGATTTTTAGAATAAATACAACAAGATCAATCAAATTTTAGCCACAACTTCAAAAGTGCCAAAGACATTTCAACACGAACTTTTAAGAATATTATCATAATAAATTGCTCCATTATATCCTCTGAAGAGGAACAATGAAGGTAAGTACTATAATTTTTTTTTTTTGATAGTATCCAAAAAAAATGTGCAATAAACTCATCAAAAGTTAATTTTGCTGATTATTATTTTTGTTTTCCTTTTTTTGGTGCTACTAATGCAGAAAAAAGTTGTCATTAAGGTTTCTATTAATGGAAACTCCCATTCCATCCTGAAGAAGTTTCTTATGGATTTTTTGAAGCTAAAGTACCTTGCCAAATGTTGGGGGAACAATTATCAAGATTCTAGATCCAAAAACCAGAGCAAGGTCTTGTTAATTGCAGCAAAAATACCAGGTAACAATATAGTAGTAGTAATAATAATCCCTGTTTTTAAGCCTTAGTTTGGGAGCCGCTGTAACTAGCATTCTAACGCTGAGTGTGACGAACATTTCTGGAGTGAACTACCTTTATTTGCTTTCTCTACTTTTCGCAAAGATTTACTAGCGACTGCTTCGATAAGATTAATCTGGGACTGTAATAACTCTCTTTAATTTACTGCCTAATAATAAATTCAGCGTCTTTTGGCAAAAATAAAAAAAAAATAAAAAATAAAGCCTTAGTACCACTTTTTTAATTATATATTTTGTAAGTTTTTAATTTCCACATTTACGTTTTATCCATAATGACACCCTATTATATAAATAACATGACATATTTAAAATCACAACATTCAAATATTATTTTCATTATACTATACAAACCTTTAGTACAAGATTATAAAATTGAAAATTTTATTTTATATTCTTAAATTTCATGCATGGTCAAATTAAGATAGATGAAATGAAAAGAAACTAGAGTGTATATTACATCTAGTATGACTGCATGTTACAATTAATTGATATGGTACTGGAGACATATACATATCAATGATTATATAGGCGGACCTAGGAATCGACGGTCGCGGGACACTATGACATTCATTTAAATTTATCACTTTTCATAAAGATTTGTACGGGATTCTATACTAATAACTAACTATTTTTTGAAGACATTTACAAGTATACATGGAGTTTTTGCCAAAGTTTTCGGGTGTCAGTCACCCCTCAACCTATAATTTGCATCTGCCTATGTCAATGAAGTATTTACACATACTTTGCATGAGAGAAAGAATCAGATCCACACAACAACAACAACAACAACAACAACAACAACAACAACAATAACAATAACAATAACAATAACAACAACAAAAACAAAAATAACAATAAATCTAGTAAAGTCTTATAAGTTGAGTCCGAGGAGGGTAGTGTATATGCAAACCTTATCCATGTCTTGTAAAGGTAAAAACGTTGTCTCTGATAGACCATCCGCTTAAAAAAAATGCATCATCACCACGGTTAAAATAAGAAACTACGACAAAGGAGAATCCATCCGTCAGAAAAAGGTAACCGAAGCAAAAGCAATACAAGTCCAAAATCTAAAAATAGGAAATACGAGAATACACTCGTATTACAGACAGTGGCAGAGCCACATGCACCCACCGACACCCTTTTGTCAGAAAATTACACCGTTTAATGATACCCCTTAACTTTTTGGTGAATTTATTTCTTTATATTTTGACTCCTTTAATAAAAATTCTGGCTCCGCCACCGCCACCGCCACCGCCACTGATTACAGATATAGAAAAGCAATACAAGTACGAAAAAAATTAGCTTTCTAACCTATTGCCCTAATCGGATCCACAAGAGGGATTGTTCTGATGGTAAGCAACCTCCACTTCCAACCAAGAGGTTGTGAGTTCGAGTCTACCCAAGAGCAAGGTGGGAAGTTCTTGGAGGGAAGGATGCCGAAGGTCTATTTGGAAACAGCCTCTCTACCCCAGGGTAGGGGTAAGGTCTACGTACACATTACCCTCCCCAGACCCCACTAAGTAGGATTATACTGGGTTGTTGTTGTTGTTGGATCCACACGTAAACGATAACATTGGCTAACTTGAACATTTGCAGGGGTAGAGAAAGTAGCTATAGAAGGTGAAGAAAAGAATGAGCTAATGGTGATCGGTGAGGAAATTGATGCAGCAGAGTTGGTCACTACACTTAGGAAGAAAGTAGGTTTTGCCAACATTGTGAGTTCTTGGAGGGAAGGATGCCGAAGGTCTATTTGGAAACAGCCTCTCTACCCCAAGGTAGGGGTAAGGTCTACGTACACATTACCCTCCCCAGACACCACTAAGTAGGATTATACTGGGTTGTTGTTGTTGTTGGATCCACACGTAAACGATAACATTGGCTAACTTGAACATTTGCAGGGGTAGAGAAAGTAGCTATAGAAGGTGAAGAAAAGAATGAGCTAATGGTGATCGGTGAGGAAATTGATGCAGCAGAGTTGGTCACTATACTTAGGAAGAAAGTAGGTTTTGCCAACATTGTGAGTATTGGTCCAGTTGATGATGAAAAGAAAGAAGAAAAACAGAAAGAAGAAGTTGCAAACTCAATATCCCCATTGGTCTATGGCAATGGATTAATACCCCCTTTTCAAATTTGGGAAGTTAGATATCCCACCTATTGCTCCATTTTGTGATCATTTGTTTAACTTGAAATATTAATTATGCAGCAAATTGTTAATCTGAGCTGAGGGTCTCCCGGAAACAGCTCGTCTGCGTACACTCTACCCTTCCCGGACCCCATTAGTGAGATTTTACTGGGTTGTTGTTGTTGGTATTTTGTAATGAGAGATATATGCATGTTTAGGGGCGGAGGTAGAACACAAGTTACGGGTTCGGCTTAGCCCAGTAGCTTTAATCCAAGCCCTATATTTATCTTAAGAAATTATTGAATATATAGAAATTATTACTTCTTCCGTTTCAATTATTACTAGCTACACGCTAGATTAAAAATACAAATCAAACATTGGATAAAATGATACAATACCAGTATAAATTTTATACTTAAATGATGGTATTAGTTATTCCACGTAAGAGGTCGGATAGTTAATCTCATGGAATATCCTAAGATTATAATCTCATGGATAGTTATTCGACCCTTGTTTTTTTGAGCCGAGGGTCTCCTGGAAACAGCCTCTCTATCCTTCGGGGTAGGGGTAAGGTCTGCGTACATATTACCCTCCCCATACCCCACTTGTGGGATTATACTGGGTCGTTGTTGTTGTGGTATACCAGAACTGAAACGTACCCAACAACTTCATCTTTTACCTTAAATCAAACGAATCCATGAAAATTAGGGGGAAAAAATAGCGTACTTATTAGTAAATTAAAGTAATTTATGCCATGCCTAACATAACCCTAGTTTCTATTTATAAGCACGGAGCACCCCATTTTTTTTTAGTTAAATATAGTAACACTAGAGAGTAAGATTCTTCATTTAATATATTGTGGAGATTTGATGATTGATTAAAGTGGAATTTGACCTCCATATAATGCATAAAACGAATAAAAAGAATGATTTTTGGCTCGTAAATTAAACCACACCATTTTCCTACATTATATATAGCATGTAATAATGTATGGTAAAGTCTCACATTATTTGAGGCATGTAATAAGTATGTATTTCTAAACGTAGATAGAAGAATCGTAGATAGAAGAATCCCGAATGAATAACTAACCGATTCATTTAATTAAGAGAGTTTATGATTGATCCAATTTGGTTCTTCACATACTTAGCGGCGGAGCTAGCATGCTGGTTATGAGTTCGGCCGAATTCAATAACTTTAGTCCAAAATTTATATTTTTTCTAAAGAAATTCATTAAAAATTTAGGGCCTTAAAAGTTGGAAATTAGGATTGACTTTCTTCCTCTTTAGGTTCAAGCTAGCTCTCATACAATTCTCAATCTTTGCACTAGACTCAGTGAAATTGATAGAGTTGAATTGACCAAAAAATCATTAATAAAAAAGGAAGTCTTTTGAGTGATAACAAATTTTATCTAAGGCCAACTAAAAATAACATTTAAAAATATAGTAAAGTACAAAAGATTAAAGATAATATATTCATAATTTTTTTAAAACTCAAATTAAAAAGTGCAGGAATTTGATTAACTATCTAGGAATAGTAATATATAAATATAATAATGTCATAAGTCACTAAATTTATAATTTTAGAACGAAATATTGTATAAATTATAATCAAATATTTTTTAAAAAAATCTAAGAATAAAATATTTGAGACATATAGAGCCAGATAATCCAAAAAAAAAGTACTTGTTTTTTTTTTTCTGATTGTTATGACGGTAGACATTTGATTATTATATTTATAATAATTCTGTGTACTTGGCTCAATTGGTATAAGCTAACTCTTTGGAGCAGTGGCGGATTTAGAGGGAAAAAATAGGGTACGTGAACCTATGATCTTTCCGAAAAATTAAATATTTATGTAACATATATTTTAAAATTGGTATAATATTAACTGTTGGCATCCGTATTTTAAAAAGTTGAATGGTGCACTTGGTTGAAGGTTGAGTTATTTACTAAGAGGAAGACGGATCAATTCTCACTTAATACGTTGCACCCCTTAAGTTTATGAAATCACTAATGAGCCTACCCAAAAAAATTGTGAAGAAAATAATCGAAAAGGAACACTCTAGCCCTCCCNTCGATTACGGGTTCGATCTAACTTGATAACTTTTGTTCAAATCAAGTATTTGACTATATAAAAATTATTAATTTAGAATTCAATAATTTAAAAAGATTCATAAGCTTCAAATCCTGACTCCGTTTGCACTCCTAAAAATGCAAATAGTATTACTCCATTATCTAGAATGGTTGGACCTTCACCATTAGTATACTGGTAGAAACTTCTGAATAGAAAGTCTGAATACATCACAAAGGTGGTATATAATGTAAAGTTTCAAATTTTGTCTATAACGGTGTACAAAATATATATACACTTAGGGGTTGTTTGGTTGCTAGCTAGGGTTACAAAGGTATAAGCTAAGTAATACAGAGATTAGTTATATATACATGAATTAGTTTTGCATGAATAAGTAAGTAAGGGTTAGTTATGCATGATTTAGTTATTCGGGATTTAGTTGTTTCATCTTCTACCACACATAAAATAATACATAAATTAACGTACTCATAACTTGATAGGTTATGTGACCTGCTATGTTTTGATGATCTAACAAACTTAAAGAACCAGATGGGGAAGCTGTTCCACATCCTCAAGTGCTCAAGAATAACAAGTCTTAAGTCCGTTACATGCCTCAACAATTCAGAGTCAAAAAAACGACAGAGGAAACAAATGGACATTAGTTCCCTTGCTGACTGTACTAAGTCAATTTCCCACAGGTTGTAAAGCTGCTGCAACTGTCCTCTGCACGCACGCAACACCATAAACAGTGCAACAGTCACTTTAGGGGAATGCCTTTGTACCAAATAATGCTTGCATCATCTGTAACACCCCACATTTTTACTAATATTTGCGTTCTTGATTGAGCATCTTTATATTGAGGAGATATTTTACTTCGCACTTCCTAATGAAATTAACATTATACGAAAATTTCTTACTTTAGATTGTGCTAATATTGACAAAGAAGTCCATGATATTGCTATGTGTAACACTTAATATTATTTTGATGAATTATTATTAATACACTATATAATTAAGGTTTTGGGCTGCCACCCTTTTGTATTTATCTAAATATATTTAGTAGGTTGGGTAGCCACATTTTTCATATTTATCAAAAGTTTAGATATTACCTTGGTAGACATGTTTTTCCATACCCTCCTCTCATATTTTATTTTTTCAAGACAAAGAAAACCCCTACCCTCTCTCCTTCTTATCACCTAAAAAATTCATGAAAACTATCATAAATTTCCACTAAACCAACCAGCAAAATTCGTTCTTGGGGAAGCTCAATTGCTCCTCTCTTTTGTGGTAAGTTACTAAACCCGTTTTACACTAGACAACTATTAGTATTTTCTTCATATCATTTTGTATAGAGCGTCGTTTTAAGTGATCCAAGACTTTCTGGAAAGCTATTTTATAGATCTACAATTCTTATGCAGGAACCAAAACCTAGTTTGTCTTTATTTACCCAAAAATAGGTGATGAAGTACAGGGAAGGTGTTGTCCTGATTTTCTGTTTTACAAACCCTCCCTATACTACTATTAGTAATTTTAGCATAATTGTTTGTACAAAATTGATATGGGGGTGATACAAGATGTTCAGAAATGCTAAGACACATATCTACAAATGTAAAGAAGACCACACAATCTAGTTTGTCCTTTTTTATCTTCAAATCTGAGCCACAACACGAAACAGTGATACTGTCCAAAATTTCTGTTTCAAAAATTTTGGGTAATTTTCAACAATATCATATTTAGTTATACATGTTAAATCACTGAACTTATATAGATATTTGATTATGTATTTAAGATATATATACCCTTGTAAAATCTAAGGGGAAGTGTTTGAGGAAGTGGACAGATTTGATTTGTCTATGGCGTAGACGATTCGAACATCGTCAAGTTGTGGTTGAACTGTTTTGTGGTAAAATACCAAGGTTTGTGTATAAACTTTATACTCTTTTTACTTACTGGAATATTTTGAAATAACCTAATATTTTGTTTTTTCTTGTCTTCAATTAATAGCATTGTATTTGTGTTATATCAAGTATTGTAAGATATTTGCTAAATCGCCCACTCGTACGGATTTGCTTAATCATTTTGCATTCTTGTTGGGATTTTGTCCTTATTGTGGCAGTGACTTTGTCACTTATCTTGGCATGCCTCTTGATTTGGATCTTTTGCCATCTTGACTTTGGGTTCGTAGTTCGTCTTAAATTATGGAACTTGTCTATGTTAAGTACGAACTAGGAAGCCATTTTTAATATGGTTCTTGATTCTCTTGACTATTGGGTTTGACCCTACTTGATTTGGGGATTCGGTCCATCTTGATATCTTATTATACTTAGTGTGATGGCATGACGTACATATTGGAGAAAAAAATGGATATGTGGCAAACTCTCTTGGATTGATAGTATACGCTTTCTCGACTCTTGAACATTGTTATTGATATTTGGAAATGCTTCAAGGTTTGATATTTGATACTTTTGATATATTTGTTCACTTATTTTAAATTATATTAAATTTGAGCTGCCTATGACTGAAAAGGGGAATTGGAGAATTTAATTGCTCCAAGCCCAAAGTTTATACGCCACTAAGCTTTATGCTTAGCGATAATTGTTTTCTATCATAGGTAATGTACGGAATGAAACTTGAAGACGGTCTTATGAAGTAGTCTTTTTGGGAGCACTTATGGAGATCACATTTGCATATGCACCTTAGTTTGTATACTTTTGGGACATGTACATGATATATATATCACAATTATATATGTTATTTGGAGGTTTGTTGGATCTTAAGACCAAAATCTTGTAACT